ATTCCCATTATATTAGGTAGATATTTTTTTTAATAAATTATTAATAGTTTTATGGTTTGTCGGGTTATTACAAACAAAGTTCAAATACATGAGATAAAATAAATATAATGGAATTACCTATTTAAAAGTTAGGTGCACAAGTAAGCCTTGAAATCTAAAATAAATACAGTGCCATTGCATCACTATAGAGCAAACAGTAAATTTGCATATCATCATCATCAGATAAAATGTCTTTTGTTTTATTTAAAAGACATTCTCCCAATTTTATGCTTGATAAATTCATATAACTGATACTTTTATGCACTGCTAATAGCCATCAAAATTATTGCAATGTCATGTTGAAACAATCTTAAAATAAGTTACCTAATCACAATCATATTCAATTATTTATTATTATTAAGAAAACTTTGTAACAATTAAAACTTTAAATTAAAATTGTGAGAATTCTTAATTGTGTAATTAATATTATCTTCAATGTGATGAACTTTAGCTTTAGTCATATAAATATCTTAAATAACAATTTAATATTAAAAAACTAACATCTGGCTCTATTTTCACAAAGTACTATATACATCGCAATATATACTGCCTTCACATTTACTGATTAATAACGTTTACCATTAGTAGTATTTTTAATTACAGAGGTTATAGCCCGCGCAGACGAAGGACTTTTGTCCGCGGACGATTTTTGTCTGTCGTAAAAGATCGCTTATAACTGCATCGAGTAACGCACACAACGGATTATAAATACCACGGGCAAAAAGGATCCCGAACTACCGTGGATACCGAGGAACCGGACAGGACAAAAGTACGCGAGAGACCGCGAAAAACTAGAACATATGTGAGTTACTACGCGTCTGCGAGAGTAATGTTCCTACGTATACGCATGAAATCGATTGTAATTTTTTATTAAAGATGTAAAAAAAAACTCCTTGCTAAAATACAATCAAAAACAGAGAATCACGACCGAAGGGACAATGGCAAAATGTTTGTTGAAGGAATTCTTTAGCGTTTATAGATTTTATCATCAGAAATGCAGATAAAATAATCTTAACGGATTTATCAAACAATTGAGGAGGGTTGTCTGTCTGGATTTAAAAACTTAAAAATTTAGTTATCACATTTTTTATTGTGGCTTAGCGTTATGTCTTTTCAGCTTATTAATTTAAGCTACGATGTTTTATAGTTATAAATACGTCACACCTACACCACGGTATGGAATACCGTTAAAATTTTGGTAACGTTACTTTTGTTCGACAAGGGTAACGATCTTAAGAGTATACATTAAACTAATGTTTGTTTAATTCAATTCAATTAACTAATAGTTTAATGTATACTCTAAGGTAACGATACTCTGTAAATAGCGTTACACCAATTAACGTTATTCCGGTAACATTATACATAGCTGTTAAAACCACAACCGTTATCAGTCTTTTAACGTTATAACGTTACTTTTGTCTCACTTTACTGGTTACTATCATTTTAGGTAACGTAATTACCTATATTGGTAACGATATTTATTGCGTTTATATTTATATAATTTGAGAAAGAGACGGATGGTTAATAACCGCTTTTACTCACTTCTTACTTAGGCCCTAAATAAGTTACAATTTTAATTACAAATTAAAATACTAAGAGGAAACAATGTCGGAGAAATAAATGGTATCTCTAAAAGAATAGTTATTATTAACGTTACCATTCAATTCGGTTCACTAAGAGTTAACGTTGCTTTTAAGCCCCGTCATACACTCTTCATACCGACTTGCAATTAGTCGGGCACGCTCTCTCGCCGCGGCTTTACTCGCTACAACGTGTAAATATCTTACGTTATCCAGACAAAAAGCCCTGTGTGTGTTTAAAATAGTACATCAGTTACACCGTAACTATTAGAGACAAGAAATACATGTCATTTGATTGGTAAGAACAGTTTTAAAGAAATTAATGTATTAATATGTAGTGACTAGCGGCCCGCCCTCGCTTCGCTTCGGTGTACGGCTGAAGTGTAGATTACAGTTTTTGTTCTCAGGCTTGTATTATACACAATGACATTCATCTATGATTCTTCTTATACCTGCATGCAAAGTCTCAGCCCGATCGGTTTAAAATTGACAAAGTTTCATACAAACTTTCATTCCCTATTTTATCCCCTTGGGGGTAGAATTGATCAAAATCCTTTCTTAGTGGATGCCTACGTCATAACATCTACCTGCATGCCAAATTTCAGCCCGATCCGTCCAGTGGTTTGGGCTGTGCGTTGATAGATGACTATGTCAGTCAGTCACCTTTGAGTTTTCTAAATAGATTACTTATTTTGACAGTTGCTGACATCGTTGACACGTATAGACTAAAGAAATACTACTTTAGTGAGATCTATTGGCGGCTGTTGCCAAGGAAAGTTGGGACAGAGACTACTTGTGACTATTTACAATGCAATATTGTTGGCGTATAACCTGTCTACATATTAAACGTGATTGATTTTAAGTGATTAAATCAACTTAAAGTATGTCGTTCCTATGTTTTGCATCGCTTTATGATTAAACTTATCTTGCAGAAAGTTCGTGAAACATTGTTTTATTCAATATTATAGTAAAAGCATAATAAAAAAAGGGATGGACCCAGTGTTCTCTTTCAGAACGTCTTCTCTTTTTCTTAAACTTTATGTTAATTACAATACAACGTAAACTCCGAATATTGCTTCCATAGCATGCGCTTCACTAAATTTCCGAGCAACAAAAGTCCGGGTGTTCGCACACCATGTACTTTGAGTCCGTGACAAGTCCTCGGACAATTTTATCATAACACGCGGTCAAAAGTCCGTCGTCTGTGCAGGCCATTATAGTACCTACTTAAGTAGGTACCTTTACATTTAGTCAGCGCTATATCGCGTCTACCTGAGTTGTAATAAAACAAAGACAACACCGTAGCCAAGGGCGGATCCAGCTTTAGCGCCAGGGGGGGGGGGGGGTCATATACCCAGCTTTGGCCCAGGGGGGGGTCATATAGTCGTGGTATACTAAATATTGAAAGTACTTAAATAAAATCCCCCTGGGTTTGGTCCATCTGTACCCAGCCCAGGGGGGGGGGTCATGACCCCCATGACCTCCCCCTGGATCCGCCCTTGACCGTAGCCGCATCGCAGCAGCGTAAAATATGCCTATCACACGCTTACCGTTACGAGACTAACACAAAATATTGGTCTACCTTTATGGAATCATCAATATGTACGTGGCAGGGCAAGCGTTTATATCCGCTTATTAATAGGCCGACCAAATGCTTATTTTTACACAAAAACACATACACACAAATACAAGAGTTTTTAAAAGAATACAGTGCCATAGTGAACTTCTACAGCCAGCAAAATTTGTAATTTTCTAAGGTAACTAATTTATTATGGATTATGGTAATTCTATTACTATTGACAACACATAATACTTAATGAATAAAAAATGTATAAATATTATAAAACTTAAACTATTTAACATGTAACGATCTCATATATGATAATACAGATCCCTTTTACTAATCGTGATTATTTATTAATCAGTTAGTCTTAGGGCTGTACTAGAGAGACAATATTCTTAATTATATTAAACTTCATGCTGTCACTTTCTTTGCAATAGCAATGGAAAATTACAACAAGTCACTTTCATATGCATTAAAATTGTTGATAAATATTTTGCGTTATCCCGCCGGCAGTTCACTTGACTACTCGTGTTTGCTATTCGTAAACATGATATCAGTATGTCCTTTTTATTCCTTGTAGAGCAAGTAAGGACAGACTGAAGTCAAGTATAAAAATAGCAAACAAGAATACCCAAGTGAAGTGCCGAAAGTATGTATATTAAGAAAACCAATCTTGTTCACAGAAAAGAAAGCTTACACAATTACCTATTATTGCAAAGTGCAGTACCGAAAGCGTAATTATACTATAACTGACCCAGCGAACTTCGTATCGCCATAAAAATATGGGTGGTAGAGGAGTGAAAATTAAGGGTTGTTTGTGTTTAACGTAGTTTTTTTTCTTCAGACGATTTAATTATTATTTTGAACACAAAATCGGTTATTAAACCATGATAGCTAGATATATGTTCTCGCGGATTTTTTTGTAGGTCTTAATGAGATCTACAAACCCGTAGTACATCATTTTGTTCTATTGTCAATAGTTTTTGCAGCGCACGCAAAAATAGGTTTTCGATTTTACACCTTGTGTTACAAAATAGCAATTTTATTACGGATCCCTAATTTTGAAAAATATAGCCTATAGCTTTTCTCGATAAATGGACTACCCAACACTGAAAGAATCATTCAAATCGGACCAGTAGTTCCAGAGATTAGCGCGTTCAAACAAACAAACAAACTGCAGCTTTATAATATTAGTATAGATTAATTGCGTGTCCATGATGCTAGCGTACCCACGATCAATATACGGTTTTTCGTTATGCCATTAAATACTGCATAAATAGTGCCAAATTAGTGTAAAAATAAAAAAAATAGTGCCTCTTTAATTTAAGAAATCAAGACCCTTTTTACTGTGTACGCTACCATGACGTCAAGCTAGCGTACCCATGGCCGACCCCAAGAACGGCATATATTTAAGCAACGAAATTGACACACAAAATAGTTCGCAAATAGTGCCCTGGCTTTACAAAATTTCATAATCAGTACTCTTAAAGGACCAAAGATATTGAATTAAACATTCTTAGCTGGCGTCAACCTGGCGTACCCATAATAGTTCTCATAGAAAATGAACTTTTCTCGTTACCAATTCTATATGTATAAATAGTGTGTCAAATAGTGCCTCTAACAATAAAAGTATTTTATGTTAATTCGCAGTAAAACAATATAAAAAAGCAATTAAAGTACGCTAGCTTGACGTCATGGTAGCGTACACAGTAAAAATGGTCTTTATTTCTTAAATTAAAGAGGCACTATTTTTTTTATTTTTACACTAATTTGGCATTATTTACGCAGTATTTAATGGCATAACGAAAAACCGTATATTGATCGTGGGTACGCTAGCATCACGGACACATTAATTGCCTGCTTTTTAATCTCGGAGACAAAAATGTGTAGCCGCTTTACACTAAAATGGATGAAATAAAAATTATTTTTTAACATAAAATTAAATCTAACTGCATAATTTAGAAAATGGAAATAAAAAGTAAAAAAAACATACGATTCACACGAAATCGGGCGGGTTCTATTAGGATTTGGAAGTAATATAAAATTAAAATCTTCTCCATTTTTCAATATCATTTTTTACTTTTAAATGGAAGTTTGGGATTTTGAAGTTCGTTTTTATTTTTTGATTTTATATCAAAGAAACAACATACAGGCAGATATGACGCTAGGTGGCGAACGGTCATACTTTTCTTTCACATAATTTGGAATCCGGTTCCGATAATACTTACTCTAACGCTTTTAAATAAAAAAACGACACTAAATATTTTAAAAGCGTTAATTTCCGATAATAGTACATCACTATTTAAGAACCGCTAAAAACCGGCAACACAGGTAATCTCATTTTTGTCTCTTAGATGAAACGCCACCAGAATATTTGGAAGCGGGATGGTGTTTTATATTAAAATCCCAATTTCTCATTAGAGTACTGTAGCCGTGCGAAGATAGTCGCTAGTCTCCATTATGCTCAAACGATGCCCAGCATTGTTTAATAAATTGAAATGAAGACTATTAGCTACCAATACAAACTACAGAAAACACATACAAATGTTCCTAACATACATTGATATTAAAGGTCAAAACTTAAATTAAAACTTTATACATTACAAATGATTAATGTATTCAAATTTGCGTGGCCGAGTTCTCTGTTAGGTATAAATTATTCTTACCACATTCCTAATGTATACACACAATTGTAGCATTTGAGTCGTATTTCAAAAGGTTCATTATTCTGTGTAGTGAACAAACACTACAGCTACACTTCACTGGAAGATGGAACTAGAAGGGGTGTAGCTGTACTTGTGTAATTCTTATCAATGTGACACTTGAGAAGTACAACACAAGGGTGCTTGTTAACGAGACAATTTCCCACCAGGTCTAAGGACCGTATAAACCGTATTTACGTCTGGGTGTCAGTTAGGTATAAGACACCGTGGAGGTTAGTTACACGCGTACAAATCGTGCTCGTGAACAAACTTGGCCGTAGCAAGGGGCCATTAAGGGGCAGCGGCCTATCTTAAAATACAATTGCCTTAAAACGGGGCGGCAGGCTACGAAGGGCGGCACGCCCTTGCTTACGCCCTACCTGTAATTACCACTACCTCATCCTAAATAGAACTTTAAAATCAAGTAGAAACCGTCTCGACTTGTTAAAAAGCGCCCTAAGGCTAATTATTTTGTGTAATGAACAAACACTATACTTCACTCGGAGCTGGAGCCAGAAGTCGTGTAGCTGTAGTCTTGCTGCTAAGCGGTGTTGATCAGCTCGACGTTGAGATGCGTGATGAAGCGTAGCCGCATCTGTACACGGACTGAAGTTTCACGTATCACTCCCTGCGCTTGGATCATAGTGTATTACCACACGCGATTATAACACTTGATTAAATGGAACATAAGGGTCATTATTGTGTGTAGTGAATAACCACTACAGCTACACTTCACTCGGAGCTGGAGCTTGAGCTAGAAGGCGTGTAGCTGTAGTAGTCTTGCTGCTAGGCGGTATTGATCTGCTCCACGTTGAGGTGCGTGATGAAGCGCAGCCGCATCTGTAATGCGGGCCGAAGCTTCCGTATCACCCCCTCCACCTCGTTTTTCAATGTGTCGCCAACGAACATGTACTTTATATGATATCTGGTACGGTGTTCAGGAGATTACATAAATTACAATTTATGGATTGTAACGCCGTGTATTGTTTTCGTCTCCTACTAGTTACCTTGCATTTGTAATTTTTTTGTGATATAAATGTTGCAATTTTTTTATATCTGGGCCCGACAAATGACTTCACCCTATCTCATGTTAAGTGATGGTAGAGTCGAGACGCGAAGATAGCTGGTACGGCACTTTTACCTACCACACCAGCCATCCGCACCTTGCCGGTCTGAAAGTTGCTACATAAAAAATAAACATTAGTTATTTGGAAAAGGATACAATAAATCGCATATCGGGTCAATGTACAGCAGATGCGGTTGCGCCTTGTCGATGTGCGCGAGCAACTCGTACAGCGTGATAGTGATGTCCATCACCGCCCTCGATATGTCCGTGTACCGTTGCAAGAACGGACCCACCAAGTGGCATAAGAATAGCATCTGCACCTCTGTGTGGATCTCTGGTGCGAGCTTCTCTTTTACAAACCTGTAATCATATTTTGATCTATTATTAGGGTTCCGTACCTCAAAGTGAATGTTTTACGTTTAGCGCTGTAACAAGATATAAATTTGACGACCTCCGTGGCCAGGTGGCATGTACGCCGGGTTTCAAGGTGTCACCTACTCAGAGATGCAGGTTCGAATCCCAGTGGGGCAAATGTTAGTATGATAAATACGAGCATTTGTACCTAAGTCACAAATGTTTATATATATTACTAAACAATAAATATTTTTATATGTATCAAAATATATTCTATCCGTTACTCTAGTATCACACAACTCAAGCCATACAGTAGTTACTTAGGGGCTAGTAATTGGTGTGAGTGTTGGAAATATTTACTTATTTAATTACAAATACAACAAAAATAAATGCACTTGTAGCATTTTGTCTTACTTTTGTCTGTTGTCTTAAGGGCCATTTGTAATAATCAATCTCCAGCAAGAGACAGACCTAATAGAGGTTAGCTGTCTAGATGTTTTTATTATTTAGAATAATCCACTTCCAGGCACATCTAACGGCCCATCTAGCTTTTTAAGTTTTGACGGTCCCTTTTTAAAAATTATTGCTCAACCATAAACACACATATATATAGACTAGCTGACCCAGCGAACTTCGTACCGCCATAAAAAAGGGGCAGGTGGTAGAAGAGAAAATTTAGGGTTGTATGTATTTTTTTATATGTACCACATTTAAAAAAAATCGTAGTGTACTATCAATTTCCTGGGATAACATTCCTCCTAACCCATATGAGAACACTACGTTGCAATACCCAATAGTTTGAATTTTGGCGCGAAGGCGCATTGTAGGTTTCAGAACACTACATTACAGGTGGACAACCATAACACTTAAGAATATGAAAAATAGATAGTAGCCGATTCTCAGACCTACGGAATATGCATAAAAATTTCATAAAAATCGGTCAGGCCGTTTCGGAGGAGTATAGTAACTAACACGTGTGTGTGTGTATGTGTGTGACACGAGAATTTTGTAAATAAGATTGAGGAAGACAGGAGACTGGCTTCCTTCTCACAGTAATGGCCGTAGTTGGCGGGAGATCACAACACGTGTTTATTTATATGAGATCACTTAATTAACTAATATTTAAAACTGTCTTTATCAGTTATTAATAAAATGTGAAAAAATAATTATTGCACTGGAAATTAATAACAAATTCACGATGAGAGTAAAATTAACGTAATAGATGCACAGAAAAATTAAAATAATACGTATAAGTCACTGCTACGATCGATACACAAATGAAATCAAAAAAAATGGCCGAAAACTGTATTTTGAGGAAGACAGGAGACCGGCTTCCTTCACATCCCTACTCCGTGATGTTTGCTGGATGAGAGGTGACCCAGGTAGACATCTAGCGGGGATAACTGATCGATTGATCGTTGATTGGTTATCGACCGGTGAAGGCGGAAGATCAAATTGTATTGAGAAAAAAAAATACTAAAAATAAAAATCGCGATGGTAAATATTTCAGGGTTATATGTATTTACTAATGCTGTATCATAAAAAAAATTAAAAAAAATAATACCTTAAAATGGAAAAACAATTAGGAGTGGATTACCCTTAACATTTAGGGGGATGAAAAATAGATGTTGTCCGATTCTCAGACCTACCCAATATGCACACAAAATTTCATGAGAATCGGGAAAGCCGTTTCGGAGGAGTTTAACCACAAACACCGCGACACGAGAATTTTATATATTAGATATATATATATATATATAGGTATATATATATTTGCTACAGACCGCTGAAACTTATAACACTAAATGGGCCGATAGATGTGCCCGGAAGTATATAACAACTGTTACAAAGAAATAAAACCATAATAAGATAAGCCTTCTTATACTGCAGTTTGATTTTAATGAAACTGGCCTTAATCCATACGAATTCACATGCACATGAAACATATTTATTACTAGTGGCCCGCCCTCTCTTCGCTTCGGTATTTTATCCCCTTGGAGGTAGAATTGATCAAAATCCTTTCTTAGTGGATGCCTACGTCATAATATCTACCTGCATGCCAAATTTCAGCCCGATCCGTCCAGTGGTTTGGGCTGTGCGTTCATAGATCACTATGTCAGTCAGTTAGTCACCTTCGAGTTATATGTATATAGTTTACAGTATTAATGTGCGATACTTACTGTAGAACCTGCATTATTTGTCCGGGCCCAGCGTGGTACCAAATTGCATGGGCCAGAGCCAACGTTAAACTGTAGCGATTCTCCAATATAGAGTCGTTGGTAGTCGTGAAATTGAACAGTTGGAACGGATTGTGTGCGAAAGGCCACTCTGTCATATCGCTGTGGGCTATCAATTCCAATATGCGATCATGAAGAACCGTCCAGTAAGGATCTGGCAACGCTGCCATAATCAACCCTACAGCGTTTATCCAGAGCTGAATTTTCGTCGCCGGTATGACGACAAACCCCTTGGTGATGACATCCAGTAGACTGTTTCCTACGAAGTTCGGTGTTAAAGGCAACGTCATTAGTTCAACGCATGTCACGTATAGGGCATGGGCTGAGGGATTCGGATACTCGTTGAATCGCCAGTCTGTTGTTGGAAAGTGTGATACGCCAGTCATTGCTGTTTAATGGTCAAGGAGAAAATTATTCAATACATTACACTGCACCGCTAATCATAAATCAGAATAACTACTTCTTAGGTATCTCATGATATTTTAGATATCAGTTGTTGTGTAAGCTTCCAAAAACAATATAATCTAAGCTTATTGTTTTAATGATTTGGTTTTTTTCAGCGTGAAAACAAAAAAACATTGAATAAAAAACACAAAGGAAATAAATATGTCGAGAAAAAGAATTAAAACCAAAAACAAGTAAAACTCTCAGAAAATTTTGTCAGTAGATAAAAAAGGTAACCATGATCACTCATGTTCTAAAAAGGATACTATCAACCATTCTGTTGATCAAACTCAAGTAGTAATTGAGGTCCGGGGACCATCCCGTAGCTTCCACCTCGGTCTTGGCCAGATACCCCTGGAAGGTCTCAGTGGTCGCCCATCCGGAAGGACGTACTTCCTTCAACGACCCCAATACGGCAGTGACAAGTTTCCGTTTCAACAGAGGCTTGTCCCTAAGCTTCGTTTCGTAGTAATGCAACGTGTTGTACAAGAAGGTTACGGGTCGATCTGCGAACACATTGGCTCTAATATTTTATATTCGTAACACGTAATACGATCATTGAAAGTTAAATAAATTGTACCAAAAAAAGGCCAATATATCCCCATTCCACAACCCCATTACAGCAGTCACGAGTTTCCGTTTCAATAGAAGTTCCTAAGCTTCATTTCGTAATTATGCAAGTGTCGTACAAGTTCAAGGTTACAGGTTACGAACAGATTGCCCCTTATGTTTTAATTTAGTACTCGTAATAAGTTATGTGATGGTTGGAAGTTAAAAAAATTGCCGCCAATAGAGGAAAAACACATTCCATGTTTATAAATCCGAATGTGTGTCTGTCTGTTACGTTCTCACGCTTAAACCGCTGAACAGATTTAAATAAAATTTAGTATAGAGATAGTTTCATTCACGGGGAAGGACATAGGAAAGTTTTTATCTTATAGATAAATCTTCCTTTGAGGGGGTGACAGGGGCGTGTAATTTTGTATTTAAAACCATTTTTTCCACGCATACGAAGTCGGAAGTTTACCGGTTTCTATATAGGAAATTATTTTCATAAACATTTTCTGGATAGAAAAGTAATTAGTTGGAGTCCTGGTGAACCTGATGTAAAGGTTCATTGTGTGGTAATTGAAAATAATTATAATGTGTAAAATTGATAGGAATTAATGTGTTTAAAATGCATTTAAACCTCACCATGGAATTTGTACAAGTAACCAAGGTGTTCCAGCAGCTGTTCCAAGTTTTTGCTGACTTGTGGTATCTCCAAGTGCCTATGAACCACTATATCCAAAACAGGGATAAACCTGAGACACACGTTGCTGAGATAGACTGGTATTGGCCCTCCATAAGTGCTGTTGGACTCTTCCGGAGCGAACTTTTCGGGATATTTTCTATGAAACGCCATGTGTTTGTCGTACCTATATGAAAGTATAACAGATGATGAAAAAACCTAAAACGCACTGCTAAATAAGTCATGTAAGTGTATAATAATTAGACTTATCAAACAAGCGTACCAATTGTTTTGTTTCCAATGTTCGGGCGAGTTTTCTTTAACGAAATCCTGTGCCCTGTTTCTTAGTTCAGATCCTTTCAGCAATAGAAGCTGTATGATGTACAGACAAACTTGACTCTCATTGGCATCTGGATTGGGGCGAAGTACCTGAAGAAATCATTATCGCTATAAGCATTTTGTAAATACAAAGATTGAAATCGTAATCAGGTAGATTAAAATCATATTTCATCCTTGCACTGGATTTGGTTCATAATAATGGATAACTTTGACTTCCTCCGTGTTTTAGTAGTTGCGTTCAGTACCCTTAGCACGAACTAATATCGAATTGGAATAGTTTGCGAGTGAGAAATTTCATTGTCAAATATTGACCGATTTTTAATTCTCGTTACGTCCGTTATGGCGCTGCTATTCAAGTTCCCATACAAAATTTATCAATGACATTTCGCACTCTTAAAGCTATGTATTCGAATTCGATCTAGTTATACGTCAAATGTGTACTGATTTATAGTTCTTGTTTAGGCCAAATTACAGTAATTATTAAATATCAATGGCCCATACTGCCAGACGAGGCTTTATGTGTAACCAAATGTTACCTGAAGCTCGGTTCGACCCCTTTTTGGGATTCTGAACGTAATTATATATATTTTTATTAATGTGTGCTAGGAGGGTAAGTCCTTTAATCTCCATCCAGTTATTTCATACCTACCCGATCCTGGGCCATAAATTGGCTTCCCCTCCAGTACTCGCCTCACCGTTAGTGTTTGAACTATCATCGCACGGTTAACATTACATTCGTCGTCAAACTCCAAAAAAGGATAAGAATACAATCCTTGGTGCTCTGTACGTGCTGTGCACATCGTGTTAGTGTTTTGCAGAAGAAAACTGTGTATTTCGAGTGGCCACTCGTATTAAGAAAGTGCTGAACAAACAGAGGTACTTATTTCGCAGCTGAATGTTGGTGAACTGGTGAGTCTTCCATTATTTAACTTATCCCTCTTCTCCCTTCAGCACACGAACCAGTCGCGCATACATTATTTTTGGTCACTTCGGCCTAGATTGCGAAATAATTTTACCTAGGTATACCTCGATTTTAGTAAGGGGATAAAAGTCATTAAATACTTTACTTTACTACTTACTAATACAATTTATCAAAAATGGCTACTTCTAAATCACAAGATCAAAGTTTTGAGCGCAGTTTGCGTAGATTGCAAAATAAAATTAACGCTTATTTTTCGCGTATTCAAACTACCTACGATAGTATGGCAAAGTTAGACACCGCGCAGCAGATAGACACATTTTTGTCTAATGCAAGTACGGTTGATTTAATACGTTCGGAGTTTGTACGTACATTAGATGAGCGTAATGAATTGGTAGCTTCGAATGAAAACGCTGGGGAGTCAGATTACACTTCTATGCTATCTTTCGAAGACTTATATGCGCGAATTAAGTTCAAATGCTCACAGTTATCATCGCATTCTCATACCTACGAGACAAAAAATACGTCTCAGAATAGGCAAGGCCCGAAACTACCGAGGCTTGAGTTAATGTCGTTTGATGGCGAATTAGAGAATTGGCCCATATTTTATGAGACATTTAAGAATGCAATTCACGATAATACTGAATTGAGTGAAAGTGAAAAAATTCAATACTTAATGGGCAAATTAACTGGAAAGGCCCAAACTATTTGCCAAGGTTTTATGCCTACAGCGGAAAACTATTCTGTTCTTTGGCAAACGTCAGTAAATAAGTATAATGATAAGCGGTTACTGGCTGCTTCATACTTAGATAAATTATTAAATTTACCCCTTGTGAATGAAGATTGTTCCAATAGCTTAGACATTTTTATTGATAAATTTTCATCATTAGTTAGCTCATTAAAGCAACTTAAACTGGACAGTCTAGAAGATTTTATCTTTATTCACGTCGGTTTGAAAAAGGTGGGATTAAACACAGTAAAATCTTTCGAATTGCATTCCGGGAGTTCAGTAAAACTACCATCATGCACACAATTTATCGAGTTTGTTCGCAATCAGTCGCATATTTTACAACGAGCTAATAGTATTGCTGGCACGAAACAGTCTAATAGTAAATCGATGTCGTCAAAAAATAGTGTACCTAATTCTACTTCCCGTTTCAATAATAATTATAATAAAATTAGTAAAACGTTTGTAATTAACGAACAAAATAAATGCTTATGCTGTGGTAATACTGACTATTTTCAGTTGCGTTTGTGTAAAAAAATTACAGGTTTATCACCTACACAGCGTTTCACTTTTGTTAAATTAAAAGTAAATAAATACTGTGTCAATTGTCTAAGTAACGACCACACAGTACGACAATGTTCTTCGAAAACGACATGCTCGAAGTGTTCACGTAGTCATCACACACTACTTCATTTTCCAACAAATAATTCGAAGTCGTCTTCCAACATCGTTTCGGGTGCTGATAAACAATACTCGGGTGAATCATCACCGAGTACCTTAATGCCGTCGCCGCCAGGAACGGGCCGGCAACCATGCGGCGGTCAATCGGTATCGCTGTGCGCGACCTCAGGCCTTCCAGAGCCGCGCGCGCCGCCGTCTTCGGCGGACGCTCCCGGTCACACCACTGTTTTAATTGGTACTGCTCAATGCACCGTTATCGATAACGCGGGCAATACTCACACCGTTCGAGTCTTAGTAGACAGCGCGTCGCAACGGGATTTGATCACACTAAAATGTTGCAAGAAATTAAAGTTGCAATTACATCCCTCCACGACTAAATACGTGTGTGGAGTAGGCGACGTTGCCAACCCTATAGAAGGCTATACGTGTATAACTTTGCGTTCACAATTCGACAAGTCTATTTGTTTCACTATTAAACCGTTGGTAGCACATCGTATTACAAGTGACTTACCATTAGCAAAAATAGAAGTCGGACGTCTCGAGTACTTAAATAATATTCGATTAGCTGATCGAACTTGTTTTGAGCCCGGCGAAATTGATTTGATTGTGGGGTCTGAATTTTTCGCACGCATTATTCGACCAAACATTATTACACGCGGCGTCAATGAGCCCGTCGCTATTGAAACGTTGTTTGGATTTATAATTTATGGTCAAGCTCCAGTCGTGTCCTCCGTTTCCGAGGTGCATACTTACTGCACTTTAGATAAAAATATTGCCTTAGAAAATAAATTAAGCCGGTTCCTTGAATTAGAAGACGTTCCTACTGCGAATGCACTGTCCTCTGAAGAACAAGAATGCGAAAGTTTTTATTCTGATACTACCACGCGTGATTCTAGCGGTCGTTACATCGTTGCTCTACCATTTAAGGATGATGCTTTTAAATTAGGCGATTCACTTATGGGTGCCACGCGCAGGTATTTGTCATTAGAGCGTAAATTATTGACTCAACTTGACCTTAAATCGAAATATGATAAGGTATTTACGGAGTATTTGGAAAAAGGTTATTTAGCGCCTCTTGATAGTAATCACACGGAGTTTTTGTCACACTACGTTATTCCACATCACGCCGTCTTACGGCCTGATAAAAGCACTACTAAACTGCGTGTAGTCCTTGATGCAAGTATGAAGACCATGTCAGGGTTGTCACTAAATGATATTTTGCACACTGGTCCGAATCTGCAAAATGATTTATTTAAAATTATATTAAATTTTAGATTATTTAAAGTTGCGATTAGCGCTGATATACGTCAAATGTATTTGCGAGTCTTAGTAAGACCTGAAGATAGGCGATTTCAAATGATTTTATTCCGAAATGACGCTGATCAACCATTGAAACTGTACCAAGTAACGCGAGTACCATTTGGCCTTTTGTAGCCCGTACCTCGCCATTCGGACAGTCCCGCCAGCTGATAGTAGATGAAGGTTCACGTTTCCCGGTCGCGGGCCCGGTGGCGGAGCGCGATCTATATACGGATGACCTAGCCCGTTCTTGTGAAACTCCATCCGAAGGCATCTTGCTATCTCAACAATTAATTGAGTTGTTTAATGCTGGGGGGTTCGAACTAGTCAAATTCTCTAGTAACTCGCGTGAAGTCATGCAGAGTATTCCATCTGCTTCTCGTATATTATCCGATGTCGAATTAAGCCCTAATGATTATTTAAAGATCTTAGGTCTTCGTTGGTTACCGGCCGAAGACGTTTTTACCTTTACTGTCAACGTGCGAAACTGTGAATGTACAAAGCGCAACATTCTATCAACTATTGCCCGATTGTGGGATTTGATGGGATCTGTAGCACCAGTCACTTTACTGGCAAAATTAATAATTAATTTTTTATGGACAAATAATATAGACTGGGATGAAACGCCACCAGAATCAACAATACAACTTTGGCGACAGTTTGAATTAGAGTTGTTAGAATTACAAAAAAATTAAAATTCCGCGACACGTTGGATTTTCATCAGACTGCATTGTTTCGTTGTTAGGATTCGCCGACGCGTCTGAGAGGGCATATGGTGGTGTAGTATACCTTCACATTTATTTTCCAAATGAAAATAAATTTGTAATAAATTTAGTCTGTGCCAAGTCCAGAGTAGCGCCTGTACGTAGTGCTTCGCTTGCCAGACTGGAACTTTGTGGTAATTTAATTTTAGCGAAGTTAGTGCGTAATGTTTGTGACACTTATTCACAGCGTATAAAAATAAATAATGTCTATGCGTTTACCGATAGTATGGTGGCATTAGCTTGGATCAACGCGCCGTCAGCACGGTGGCAGACATTCGTAGCAAATAGGGTAGCTCAAATACAGGACCTATTACACCCTATTAATTTTTATTTTATATCGGGAAAAGAAAATCCTGCCGACTGTCTGTCCCGTGGTTTAACGCCGGCACAATTGATGGACCACCCTCTGTGGTTTCATGGCCCTCGTTTCGCACGCCTGCCTGTTTCGCAGTGGCCCATTCATGAATTTGATCCTAAGAGTGTTATAGATGCACCTGAAATTAAACCTTCTGTGTTCATCACAGTGGAGAAGGTTGAACCTCCATTGTTGTATTCACTCTCATTAAAATTTTCTTCTTGGCCGAAATTAATTAGAATAATCGTTTATATTTTACGATTCATAAAGAAATTACCACAACGATTTGAAGCTTCGCATTTAGAGTATGCGGAACTATTACTGATTAAAAATGTTCAGTCAGTTTACTTTAGTGACGAATTTAAAAGGGTCGAAAGTAATAAGTCTCTTTCTCCAGCCTTTCAAAAATTAAAGGCATTTGTACACAACGGTATTTTTCGTGTAGGCGGTCGATTGAGTAATGCCGACTTAGATTACAATAGCCAACATCCCATTTTGCTGCCACCACGTGATCATATCGTTGATTTAATAATTGATTATTATCACCGAAAGTATTTACATACGGGACCACAACTCTTGATGTCTCTGTTACGCCAGAAATTCTGGATTCTTTCAGCACCTCACAGCAACTTTGTAACATTTGTTTCAAATCGAGACCTAAACACGAATTTCCTATAATGGCAGACTTACCTGCATGTAGGGTACAGGAAGCTAAGGCGTTCTATCACACGGGAATAGACTACGCGGGACCCTTACATGTAATTCCGTTTCGTCGACGCGGTGTACGAAGTCAAAAGGCGTATATTTGCCTTTTCGTGTGTCTCGTAACTAAAGCTGTTCATATAGAGATGTCTTGCGATTTGAGTACAGATTCGTTTTTAAATGCATTTAAGCGTTTTATATCACGCAGAGGTCCAATCAAGTATGTTTATACTGATTGTGGTACCAATTTTATTGGCGCGAAGTCATATCTTGATGAAATTTATAACCTAATCTCATCAAAGAATTATAGTGACAGGGTAAATTCGGAGCTATTAAGCAACTCCATCGAATGGAAACTCAATCCTCCGGCTTCTCCCCATTTCGGTGGAATTTGGGAGGGCAATATTCGTTCCGTAAAAATGCATCTAAATAAAGTTGTAGGTAATCAACTCCTTACAGACGAAAAAATGACTACTCTTTTGACTCAGATTGAGGCGGTACTGAACACGCGACCATTATCTGTCCTAAGTTCAGATCCGTCAGAGCCGATAGCGCTAACTCCGGCTCACTTTCTAACTCTGACTCCACTGAAGTCATTCCCATCAGACACTACCTCTGAAAATATCAGTATTACCAATAGAAAGCGCATCGTTGACAGCCTTATTCTGTCATTTTGGAAGCGTTGGAAGATAGAATATCTAAATACATCACAATGCCGTAATAAATGGTTAAAGGACACAACGCAAATTAAAGAAGGTACTGTAGTGTTGCTTCATTCAGAGAATAGTTCGCCGCTGTCTTGGCCACTAGGCATTATTGACAAGGTGTTCCCTGGGAAAGACGGGGTAACTAGGGTAGTGAATGTGCGTACAAAATCCGGCGTATATCGAAGACCGGTTGTCAAAGTCTATCCGTTGCCCAGTCAGTAGTATTTGCTCATACATACAGTCCACTAGGTATAATAATAATAGAATAAGCTTAATTTTATTTTTTTGTAAGTTAATTTGAGTTGTATTAGATTTCTTATTTGATATATTACTACTTTGAAAGAACTGCGTTCTCTCAAGCTGGGGGCAAGTTTAGGCCAAATTACAGTAATTATTAAATATCAATGGCCCATACTGCCAGACGAGGCTTTATGTGTAACCAAATGTTACCTGAAGCTCGGTTCGACCCCTTTTTGGGATTCTGAACGTAATTATATATATATTTTTATTAATGTGTGCTAGGAGGGTAAGTCCTTTAATCTCCATCCAGTTATTTCATACCTACCCGATCCTGGGCCATAAATTGGCTTCCCCTCCAGTACTCGCCTCACCGTTAGTGTTTGAACTATCATCGCACGGTTAACATTACATTCGTCGTCAAACTCCAAAAAAGGATAAGAATACAATCCTTGGTGCTCTGTACGTGCTGTGCACATCGTGTTAGTGTTTTGCAGAAGAAAACTGTGTATTTCGAGTGGCCACTCGTATTAAGAAAGTGCTGAACAAACAGAGGTACTTATTTCGCAGCTGAATGTTGGTGAACTGGTGAGTCTTCCATTATTTAACTTATCCCTGTTCTCCCGTTACACCCTTCAGCACACGAACCAGTCGCGCATACAGTTCTCGTTACGTCCGTTGTGGCGCTGTTGTTAAAAATTGCCATACAAAATTTGACAGTGACATTTCGCACTCACAAACTTTTCGAATTCGATATTGGTTCGTGCTAGGGGTACTGTACCCTTAGCACGAACTACTAACGAATTCGAACTTTGTAGATATTCACAACGTGAAAATCTTATAGACTGAATATACAGGAAATATAGACATCAGTACCCTTAGCACGAATCAATATCGAATTCGAAGAGTTTGCGAGTGCGAAATGTCACTGCCAAATTTTATAAGGCAACTTGAACAACAGCGCCACAACGGAAGTAACGAGAACTAAAATTCAGTACACATTTGTTGGCAAGCACTTGTATTCTCCTGTAACCAAACCCGCCGGTTTGGTTACAGGAGAATACCTGTATCTAAGTAGTGGAAACAATATCAAACCGACTATAAGAACCTACCAAACACAAGACGAGTCTGTAGATGGTGCCGATGTTACACTTCCATATGATATCGTAAATGGCGTTCACACATTTGTTGGTCTGTGGCCCGCCTGCCGGGTTGGTCTCAAGAGAAAACCTGTATCTTAGTAATAAAAATAATATAAAAATGATGATGAGAACTCACCAAACACAAGACAAGCCTGTCGATGGTGACGATATTATACTTCCATATGATATCGTTGATGGCATCCACGCATTTGTTGATATGCGGCCCGCCCGCCGGGTTGGTCACCTCAAACACTAGGTAGTCACAGAATTTGCGCAGGTGTGCCGATAGCGCACGGGCACCGATCCTTTCCAGAATCCTACAATACGAGAGGTCTATTCATACAATCAAGATTATAATTATGTTTTGAGTTGGGTAAGGAAATGGGATGAGATAAAATGTCATAGGATGGATACGGAACAACCCACTTTGTAATTGTAAAAAAATCAGCGAGCACAGGAACACTTAGGACGCATAAGACTGTAACATCATATTTTTATAAATAAATTAACCAATAATATTCATTTTTTAATATAGCGCCATCTATCGTCACTCACATGAATCACCGAATGCAGGAGTGCTATAAGTATAGCAAGAGGTGTGCGTGTCAAGAGAATCTGACAGTTGCTCTTGGAATTTATGATAGATGGAGTTGATGTATGGTTCGCGCGTTAAAAACGTATGGATGTAACGTCATATTGATAAGTTCTAGAAGAAATTGCAAGGGCCGTGGTTTGACTAACTACTTCCGAGAGGATTTCGCTCCTTATATGGTTAGAGAATCGAGTCTTCTGTTAGTGTTTACTTAGCATTCGGCACTATAAATAGCTCTGCGCGGGTGAAACTGATCTCTTTCGCTTTTGCATTTTTGTACATCAAGGTAGTCGCAACGTGACCTTTGAGAAAGCTGTGTTCAGTGCGCTAATAATCTTAAAACAAAAGTAGTGTTAATTGATATTTCTCCCCGGATTAACGGGTCCATTGAGGAAGCTAGACAGAAACTCATTGATTTGTACTGGTCGGAATTTCCCTGGAAATATTGAAAAGAATAAGTTTGTTAGTATGAGCCTGTAATCTGTATTCTGCAACCTAGACGAGTGCGGCTGATGACAGCATATCTTTCGTAAAAATTTAACAACATTTGAAAGCCACTAGATGTTCCCGGAGTCTTAAAGCTAAGTAATATCTGTATTTTCTTAATATTTAACCAGTGCCTCCTCCGAATTTCAGGATTTCTGATTCTTGGACCTAAGAAAGGATTTGTAATTGTATACAGTAAATTCATTAAAAGAAAATCTTTAATTGCATTTCATATTGTTAGATATTTGCTAAAACAAGTTGTTTCTATAGAATATTAACATAAATATACCTGTATGTACATCTGTTATTGACAGTATATTCGTCATTTAATCTTAATACTTAAACGTATAAAAGCTATATTCATAGATATCTGTTATTAGTAGTAAGTGTGTCACTGAATGTTGATAATTTCATCTGAATATTTAAAATATAAAGATCTTGTTCACTGCGGTCAATTTTATTTTATTTCACTGTGGGAGTGAGAACTACAGTATAAGGCGCCCTGGGTAGATAATCAATTTTGAGTCTCGTGCAAAGCCCTGATTTAGCTGGTGGTACCAAAAATTGCTACAAGACGAATAATGGAGTGCGAGATCCCTACCCAACTGTGAAGAGAAACTGGATACCTAGTTAAGTATGACAAAGACGAAGCGATAGAGTGATCCATAAGTTTGGTATGGATTTTCCTGTCTCTTTCTAGAGAGTTCCCATTTCTTGCGTCATCTCTCTCTCTCAAATTTCATTTACTGTGACGCAACTTAAGCTAACATGAGATGTTATTAAGTTTGCATCGCAATATACCAAAACAGATAAGAGACAATAAATAACAGCAAGTTTCCGATATTTCGGCACTGTTGCAAGCTACTCCGTGATCAGGGCGCTTGCAACAGTGCCGAAATATCGGAAAATCGCTAAAAACAAGGTACATGGTAACAATCCCGTAAATAACTTATATTACTATAACTATTTATTACTGATCTAAATTTTGTCGCCTATTTCAATAAATATCATAACTTACTTAAAAGCGATCGGGTTGATCCGATTCGTCTCGAATATCATCTTCCACAAGAGGCAAAGGAAGAGTGGTGTGCCGGGCACAGAGAAATGCGATATGATGTCGGTGTCGTTCGCCATCGAGGTCCACTTGCGGTACTCTTCGTCTACAGACTTCTTTAGCAACTGTTTGTTCTCTTTAGGCGCTGGATTCTGAAATATACATTCTTTGTCTGTAATGAGGTATAAAACATACTATAAACTTTTTGTGTTATCCAGCCAAGTGACAGGCTTATTTGGATTTAGCCTTTATTTAGAATAAATCCATAAGTAGTCTATATGAATCTGATTCGTTACACTAGTGTCCCATAACACAAGCCTTATAGTGCTTTCTTTGGGGGTTAGGCTAAATGGTGTGAGTGTTGGAAATATTTATAATTAACATTGTTTTATGCAGCCAGTAAATTTGTGTGTTCAGAACTAAAACATATTTTATATGATGTATAATGTATGTGTGAGCTCTTATATGATGATAGTATTATCAATCTGAGAAGGTATGCCTGTGTGACAATGTACCTGAATGAGGATCAATCATGTTTTTTGTGGGTTATGCAGAATTATAGTGACAGAAAAAATAGTAAATACTGTGAAAAAACATTTAAAGAGGACTAAAAATGACGAAGATACAGCAACTTTAGTGCATTAGGCCGTATACAGAAAGAAAGCTGGAAGCCGACCAGCACTTGTCATCTCTTGTCAGCACTGGTAATAGTTACATAAAGGAACCAGATTGAAGCCGAGTTGTTCATTAATTTCAAAGGGCGGAGCCAGCGCTGACCAGCGCGTGTCGGCACTTGTCGGCGCTTATCGGCGCTGGTCCATAGAAATGCTTGCATCGGTTTACGGTAAACACCAGGCTGACAAGCGCTGGTCGGCTTACAGTTTTTTTCCGGTATACGGCCTCTAGCAACGCGCCCGAGAACTGTGACACCATCTGTTATGATCGGTTCACTGTGCGCTCGAACAGCAGCGTAATCTGTCGAAATATTTGATTTGTACGTTGTCGTATTTATATATTTACTAGCGGCCCGTCCCGGCTTCACACGGGTGTATTAAATACTATGTAAATATAATGAATCCGCATTTATATCTAGAATACAAAGAAAAATTAACAACAAATAAACAAAAGGAAACAGTGGAAGAGCTTTTCACTATATAACGAAAAAACAATTTTACAAAAGCTACACAAACAAATTTGAAGGACGTAAATTCAATGAAAGAAAATTCAGTTCCACACGCATCGCTTAGGGAAACTCGGTTTTCATTCTACGGCATGAAAATTTTCGATTTTTTTAAATTTTCGAATACTGCTTACGTCACGTTCTATTGTGTCTTGCGCTTGTTCTTTTTTTTAATATTGTATTGGTTCTGAAATGAGAAAGTCTGAAGCCACTTTTTTATAATTATTTATATAGGTATGGAGCATTACAATGTCACCATCCGTATATTGAATATCTATAGAAATACCTACTATATAGCTGTCCCAGCGAACTTCGTACAGCCATAAAAAATAGGGGTTGGTGGTAGAAGGGTGAAAATTTAGGGTTGTATGTATTTTTGTATGATGATGGTCCAAAAAAAATTGTTTAAGTAGGGACCACCCTTAACATTTAGGGGGATGAATAATAGATGTTGTCCGATTCTCAGACCTACTGAATATGCATATAAAATTTCACGAAAATCGGTCGAGCCGTTTCGGCTAATAGTTAAAACTGTCTTTATCAGTTATTAATAAAATGTGAAATATTATTATTGCACTGGAAATTAATAATAAATTCACGATGAGAGTAAAATTAACGTAATAGATGCACAAAAAAATTAAAATAATACGTATAAGTCACTGCTACGATAGATACACAAATGAAACCAAAAAAATGGCCGAAAACTGTATATTGAGGAAGACAGGAGACCGGCTTCCTTCTCATCCCTACTCCGTGATGTTTGCTGGATGAGAGGTGACCCAGGTAGACATCTAGCGGGGATAACTGATCGATTCATCGTTGATCGGTTATCGACCGGTGAAGGCGGAAGATCAAATTGAATTGAGAAAAAAAAAGAAATTATTAAAAATAAAAATCGCGATGGTAAAATAGGGGTTGATTGTAAAGGGTTGAAAATTCAGGGTTATATGTATTTACATTTAGGGGGATGAAAAATAGATGTTGTCCGATCTGTCCCAGCGAACTTTGTACCGCCATAAAAAAATAGGGGTTGGTGGTAGAAAGGCTAAAAAAAATTTTGGGTTGTATGTATTTACTAATGCTGTATCATAAAAAAAAAATAAAAAATATCTAAAATTGAAAAAAAAATCATTAGGGGTGGATTACCCTTAACATTTAGGGAATGAAAATAGATTACATCCGATTCCCAAACCTACTGAATATGCATATAAAATTTCACGAAAATCGGTCGAGCCGTTTCGGAGGAGTTTAACCACAAACACCGCGACACGAGAATTTTATATATTAGATGTAGTTCATTTGATTATAATGTCAACATACAAATATTGTATTGTGCTAAAATGAAAAAATACTACCATTACTACACCTAATAAACATTTTTCTCATGTTCTGAGAGATGCAAAGATAAGAAATAAAATTGGTGTAAAATAATGAGTAGAGACTATAACATTTTTCTTGCAAACAAAAGTGTTTTGTACTATTGCGAAGATTATTTTGAAGTCAGAATTGCGGTATCTAACGCTAGAACGGTTTAAAAAATGTTAGTGGATAAGTACCTGTTAAAAATAAAATAAAATTTGATGGAGATTCTCCTCACGAGGAAATGAATACACTAAGTCTGAACGAGTAAATTAATACATACCTACAGATTTTAAAACGATTTTTATTTAAACTACAGTGATCGTACACAACTGCTATCAGCTGTGTTCATGCTGGTGTCATTCAATGCTCGTATGTAAACCGACCACCTAAGTTTTGAAGAGTTTTTCCCCTTTTCATAGCTCCCGTATGTTTTATTTTTTAGATTAAAGCTTCATCATACTTTTTGCAGTGAGCAGCTTCGTAGGCTTTGGAAGATATGCTTCTACAATATCTGAGGTCGATACATGTTAAGGATTCTGATTGTTGCGAAGTGCTCTGCGCTACATTTTTAACAGACTACAAAAAAGGAAGTTCTCATTTCCATATTTTATTTACGTCATTGGTTCGACCTGTATGTTTTTATGTATGTAGGTATATATATTGATTAGATTTAGGTGGGGTTTCTGTTCATAAATACGTATTTATCAGATGTTTTAGTGTATATTACACTAGCAGTGTACCACGGTTTCATCCGCGTAGATCGATCGGATGAGCGCGCACGCGATCTTACTACCGACCTACGCGTGTATAATTTCCAACCAGCAACGTATTCCGTATTACACTCTAAATGAAAAAATAATAATAATACAAACAAAATCAATTTCAAAAAACTGAAAACAACAAATTACGATTAGCTACTGATATATTTGAAGAGATCATGATGTTCCTTCTATTTTTATTAAAAATATTGTTTACTTTGAATCCCACAATATATCTACTCACTTACACTTATTTAATTAAATTACTGAGTGTCTCAAAACATAAATAAATTATTTATTATATTAATAAATATCAAACTATGCACCCGTGGCACAAGCGTCAAGTAACCGGTGAATGAATATGTTCGAGCGGTCGTACGGATCATAACAGATGACGTCATCGTAAAGAATCGATTCAGAAAAACTTCAATAAGTCCATAATTTCTTGACGGATTTTAATAATGTAAAAAATAAAATGCTCAATAATGTATTGCGCATACGATGTACTTAGTAAAAATCAGATTTGCTATTACGCGATTGATCCTCATTAGAGCGAAACTCATAGAGAAGGGCAAATAAAAGATCTTATGGGTGACAAAGGATATGAAAGAATTAATTATGTTTGATTAACTTTCACCTTTACTAAATTAACTATAATAAAATCTATGTATCGTAAGAAGTAACTATTGTCTCATCATAGTACACTGTGTGTGTGAACGGTTTCCTCCCAATACAGGATTATTTTAACTTAACGGGAGGAGTCCTATATGAAAAGACGGAACTGTAATGAAATATACACTTTTTACTCCGTTGTAAAAACGAGAAACGGTTGTCAAGTTTACAAATAGCAAAACCACATTAGAAACAAACCTGTGCGAAGAATTCAACCAAAACTGGAGGGAAACACTGCAGTGTGTGCTGAGACCACATGTGTGGGGTGTTGGTCATGATTGTAGTCAAAAGCTCTTTCACTGCAGCGCCGTCACTACCTATTGAAGCAAATACAATAGCCCATTAATCTATGTATACTAATATTATAAATACGAAAGTGTGTCTATCTGTTACTTCTTCACCCTTACACCACTGAACCGATTAAGATGAAATTGGGTATAGAGATCATAATTTAAGAGGGTGGAGTTTGTATGGTAAAGCTTTTTTTCACACTATATAAAATTTAGTGTGTTGATATAACAATTACAAAAATGACAAGTTTTTAAATCTATTCCACATTTCGTACCTGCACCCGTCATGTAGATGCCTCGTGCCAATGTGAGAACTAAAACTCTGTTCAGCTCTTCACTCTCTGACGAGACTAGCGATTTTGGTTCAGATACCACTTTGGACATTTGCAGCTGTACTCCAGAACTTCCCAGTCCAGTAATGAGACGCAGAGCTGTGCTTTCAAAGCTGTAACAATAAATTCTCTTTTACCACAAAAAATACTTGGCATATTGATATTGTAAAAAAAGGTAATTTACCATAGTTGCAATTGAGTTTGGTTAGCTTGAGGATATGCAACCAATGAGTGTATGTTGGATAAAAGTGTCACTCTGTAGCCTGATTGTATATGATGAATCCGGTATGAGAACATATCCAACAAATTGTGCAGTATCCCCCACGCATGTGACTTGAAAACATTAGGGAGCAGCTGATCTGAAAAAAAATGTCATAGCATTGCAACTAATTAAATCCAAGAAGTCATATGATTCAGTTAAATAAGATATTTAATGTAGCATACTTACTTATAAACCCCTTTATTCCCAATGATTCTATTTCAGTGTAAACAAGTAGTCGACTATATGTTTCTACTAAAGCCGGCGACATCATACTGCTCCCTGGCATGTTTGTCTTATTCTGCGCTAATTTGGCGACATGCGTCACAATAGAGTGTATCAGTGACATTTTGCAATGCAATGTTAGACTGTCTAAAATACACATAGACAATGGAACTGTAGGTAATGGTGTAGCGGGGTTACCATTCGGGAGTGATTTCTGATTCCCGAATAGACTTTCTATCATTATTCCCATTGGTCTTGCATAATATTCCTGATTTGTTGAATATGCATTACAAAGCAGAGCTATTCTATAGTCAGAACCCATTATCGTAGGGGTATTGTTAGAAGTCATTAGATGTTGAAGGAACCTGTGAAAGTTCAAATGGAATATAAAATTAAATACTTAAAAGTACAACTCGAAAAATATGGATATACATTTACAATACATACTCATATTGGACCTTCAAATTTTGTGGTATTGTCATTGTTTTGTGTTCGGTTTCCGCTTTCTTTAACAAATGTGCCCAAATGCATACAACAGCCATCTGATGTGTACAATGAGCTTTGGCACAATCTGGCACAGGTAATGGCTCTTTCTCTGGATAGAGAAGTTCGTACAGTTTAATTATAGGAAGGAAATTGGACAGAGGATTGCGCTGTATGCTTCCTGAAATAAATTGTAGGAGTACCCACATCAAGTGGTCCCGACCTTTCTTCATATCTTGCCCAATGAGCTTATTATGGAGCCCCATTACTATGTTTGGGAAAGAAGCAAACCCAATTAGTATCAAATAAATAACTTGCGAGGATAAGTGTAGCCAACACCAGTGTGTGGAAGACATCTCATCATCCTCATTCTCTTGCTCACTTTTTTCCATTGGTAATATCATTAATTCTACCAACTGATCCTCCAACGCTATACAACGCTGTTTATGTTGTTTTTGAAGACCTAGCATAGAACACATCATGTCTCTAGAATAGGGCTGTTGGAGAACATGTCGCAATAAAGCAATTTGAGGTTTCAATAATTCATCATCATATGGCAAATTTCCTCTCAAAGAAAATTTCAATGTGATTGGATCTAGTCGCCACGGATTGACAAGATGGTCAGCATAACCAGAAAACTCGACTACTGGCAACATGTGTGAATGGCCAATTACAGAAACCATTTGAGCACAAGGTTTAAAACTTTCTACAAAACTAGTTAATAGATTTGCTAGTTGCCAATGAGGCCAGTGATTATTATCAGGATAATCTTTGTGAATTTCTGTTACAATAAAATATGCAGGTAGCAGTGACGCATTTCGGTCAAAAATGTATTCAATAACATTGTACAGTGCTTTTAGTTGGGGCATTGTGCTAGAGTTCAGTCTTACTGGCAATGTAAAAGCTTTTTCTCTACAGCCCTGAAAAGAAATAAAATATCACACATGATTATGCATTTCAAATTTATTTTATAAAAAGCTTTAGTGCCAGAAACATTAATTTGAGTTATAAATCGCTTTGCATTAGTCATGCATATATCACAATACATTTAACACTGGAAACTTCAGGAAGGAGGAGTAAATCATAAAGAGTCCACCATTCTTTTCATTCATTCAAAGCAATTGATCATGACATAAGATTATAATATTCGGCTGTTTGAATTTTGGTTAGACATAGAAAATTATATTTTGAAATTAAATGAATTTTACTTAAAATTAAAGCAATTAAAAAGGAAGATATCCAAATAATAAAAAGAAAACTATTTTTTTAGGACTTAGATTCAACCATGGCAATTATCCTTTTGTTTTCTAAGTAATTATAGAATTTTCGATGTAATAATGATACAGTTGATTACAGTGAGCGGTAAGGAATAAAATCAATATTTTTGTTATGTATATGCCATAGATGATAGTGATCAAATTAAACCCTACAGCATACAAGAAAATAAAAAAATGCTCATTTACTTATAAAAGCAGAATAAAGATGGATATGGCAAAACACTATAAAATATGTCTCTCTGCATTTATTCAAATTACAGTAATTATGGTTACCACACATACCCCCACAATTTCTGTCTGTTAGTACATTATGCTTGGGATCTAAATATCTATTACAAAATTGAATTCTGTAAGATTACAATTGATTACAAAATGATAAATGCATGACTTCCATGTGTTAACTTTCTTAAACAGTTATGGTAAAAAACAATAGACTAGATTGATCCATTGACAATTTTAAGCAATAAACCTACAACAGGGATAATGAACAAATTTTAATTCTTCATCTATTATTCATAGATTGTCAGAAAATATAGGACACACATTTTTTCTTTTTCGCATAATCAAAATATTACAGAGATATATTGGTTTGAAATGTCTCATGATGTCAAAGCTTGGCACAATTTTCACTTACATTAGAAGTAAAGTCACAAGCCCCCACTCCCAAACTTTGACTCCCTTTATTTTTGTAATTTTTTGTTTGATTGACATAAGAAAAAATAATTGTCCATTCTTTTTTGATAATCTTCATCCCTAGGTTACTATACTTTTTAACAAAAAGTAAAGACTACAGCATTGCTTAATAAAGAATCAAGGAGAATGGCTATGCAAGTAATTAATCATTGTATGTATACATATGGTCAACAATCTTTTGGTGCCACACATTTTGCTGCTTAGGCAATATATTTATTGACAGAGCAGAAGAAAGGCATACTAATTAGTAGCATGTTTTTTCTAATTTTATAATTGTAGAGTATTAAGCAATGCTTGTTAATGCATAATAAAATATTGCAATGTGCACATAGAATTTAAGGTCAAAGTGCAATACAATTTGACAACTAAGGAAAAATATCAAAGCAGTATTATTATTCACTTGACCATTAGTGCTAATGAATTATTTAAACTCAAGTAAGAAAAGTGTACTGCTTACTTTCATGATTTCTCTTACACCTTTGTAATCAACGCCTCCAATAACTCTTCTAATCAAATTAAAACATTGTATCCAGTAGTCAGCATTTTGATAAACAAGTTTTTCACTTGTTAAAATACAGTCGCAGAGCATGCTGAAAATATGACAAATTTTATGTATTTTTAAAGAAGTATGGTTGTCCCTTTACATAGATCTATTGCATTCAAAGTTTTATAGTTTGAGGTCAATATTGTATACTTTCTTAGTGATTGATATTTGAGTATGACTGAAGTGCCCATGGTTCAGATTTAGGGAAAGCTAGCAGCTCAAATATGCTATTCGACTGTATCTGAATGATGACCAAAGAAAATTGACTAAAATGTTTTTGTTTAGGGTACAAAGTTGATAATTAGGTAAAACTGTACTTCCAGGGCCCAAAAGGTGATACTTGTTTATTTTTGTAGAAGAGGTCTTTTTAACAGATTTTTTTTTTCTGGCGCTTCGCCGGCCGCTGCCGCGGCACGCTCGCTTTGCTCGCTCGGCTCGCGCGTTATGGTCACAACACTAACCTAACCTAACCTAGTGTGAAGTATCACCACTTGATAAGAAAAGTAAAAATTTTCAATATTTTTTTCTAAAAAACTACCAGTGCATAAGTGTGACATTTTTTTTAATAATGTGGTTAACAGAAACCTTTTTAACAACAAAAATGCGAAATTACAACCAACAAAACTGAAGTTTTTACTTTTGGGCCCTGGAAGTACAGTATATCCGATAATTATTATATTATTGTAACATGAAAAATAAAAACATTTAAAAACAAGAAAACTCTAATAGAATAAAATATATCAGAAGGCACTCACCGTGCTTGAAGAATGTTAGTATTGACCAAGTTTTCAAGGAGTGTTAGTAACTGTTTCATTTTAAATCTGTTTGTTAAAACTGCTGTATGGGTAAGGTACTGTCGAATGGCTGACTCTTGCGAGTCTGCACTTAAGGTAGTCATTACCGCACATAGTTTCTTTTGATACATTGATAAACGTTCATTTTCTTGTTCTGGTTTGTATACCAGAAAACAGCTAAATGCCTCTTCCACAGCTTCCACTCTCTACAACATATTTAATGCGTGATATATAGCGTAATAAGAAAATACATGGATATTGGATATAAATGAAGCTGTACAAATCTTACCAATATTTCATTCACAATACTTGTAACTTGTGAGTCTGCCATTGTCACGTCCTAAGGAGTCCGGCTTAGAAGATCAAATATTTCTATACGCCATCATTTGTTAGTAATATACACGAGCTCCAGTGCAGTATGTAACCGCCTAAATCGTAAAGGCAGAAAATTTAACTAAAAAGGAATTTCAAAACTTCACATAACAACCTGTTACAAATTTATAGTAAGTACATAAAAAACACATATATTATGAGATATAAAACTTCACTTAATAACTACATTATTAAATAGTTGCAGTTATTACCACAGCACATTTATTTATTCAATGAAGAGAAAGAAAAGCTTAAACATTTTTTACCTACTGTTTTCGTGCGACGTTCTTCCTTTTTTTTTGTCCTTTCGGACAGGCTAAGGTTCTACCATACTGCCTGGTCATTAGTTATATTTCTCCCTTTTATTACAATTCAATATAATTTCTTCAGTCCTGTATTTTGTTAATACTCTTTCTATTTTCTACAGTTTTTTTAAAATACTCTATTACAATGTGCTTTTTTCCCAGCACATTCAACATCTTAAATACCAAACAACTGTGTTCCTCATTGTCCAGTCATGAAATCTAATAATGCGAGTATAATTTCATATTTATTGAATATATTTCTCACAACGACACATTCACACAAAAAAAAATCATAGACAAATAACATGCAATACCCTAACCCCAAGGAACTTATCTTACTATTATATTACTATCGACTATCGACGATAGTATATGGTTGCTTTCCAACTACAGAGCATAATGCGACTCAGTGCCGCACAATGCCGAATTATGCTGATGCTTAATTGGAACGTGAATTAGTTTTCAAATGCACCAGCAGAATGCGCTAAGTTCAGTGTTGAAAAAAAAAGTCAATGTTTGTACCTTCATCCATACTTATATTTATTTTTTTAACAGTTTGAATTAACTTTGATTGTTTAAAAAAAACTATTAAATGAAACGAAAGCTTTAATAATTTTTCAACAATAAATAATATTACTTACGTTAACATATAAATAAAACATTTCGATCAATGCTAAATTGAAGAAAAACACTTGTTAATTTTCTGTTACTGGGTTGGTACGATTGCACGCATCACACGAAAGCATTACTTTTGAGAGTGCTCAATTGTGCAAAGCGTTGCTGTAGTTGGAACACTCAACGTTAAGCATTATGCCGCATAATGCGCTATAATGCTGTAATTGGAAAGCTATGTATGTTTTCCAATTACAGAGCATAATGCGACTCAGTGCCGCACAATGCCCAATTATGCTGATGCTTAATTGGAACGTGAATTAGTTTTCAAATGCACCAGCAGAGTGCGCTAAGTTCAGTGTTGAAAAAAAAGACAATGTTTGTACCTTCATCCATACTTATATTTATTTTTTAACAGTTTGAATGAACTTTGATTATTTAAAAAAAAACTATTTAATGAAACGAAAGCTTTAATAATTTTTCAACAATAAATAATATTAGTAACGATAACATATAAATAAAACATTTCGATCAATGCCAACTTAAAGAAAAAACACTTGTTAATTTTCTGTCTCTAAGTTGGTACCATTGCACGCATCACACGAAAGCATCACTTTTGAGAGTGCTCAATTGTGCGAAGCGTTGCTGTAGTTGGAACACTCAACGTTAAGCATTATGCCGCATAATGCGCAATAATGCTGTAATTGGAAAGCAATGGTTGCTTTCCAATTACAGATCATAATGTGACTCAGTGCCGCACAATGCCGAATTATGCTGATGCTTAATTGGAACGTGAATTAGTTTTCAAAATGCACCAGCAGAGTGCGCTAAGTTCAGTGTTGAAAAAAAAAAGTCAATGTTTGTACTTTCATCCATACTTATATTTATTTTTTAACAGTTTTAATGAACTTTGATTATTTAAAAAAAACTATTTAATGAAACGAAAGCTTTAATAATTTTTCAACAATAAATAATATTACTAACGATAACATATAAATAAAACATTTCGATCAATGCCAACTTAAAGAAAAAACACTTGTTAATTTTCTGTATCTAAGTTGGTACCATTGCTCGCATCACACGAAAGCATCACTTTTGAGAGTGCTCAATTGTGCGAAGCGTTGCTGTAGTTGGAACACTCAACGTTAAGCATTATGCCGCATAATGCGCTATAATGCTGTAATTGGAAAGCAACCTATATATATACTGTACTTAAATAAGTATATTTGTATAGAAATACTTATTTAAACATCCATGTGTGGAGTACAAATGCTCGTATTCATTACACAAATATCTGCCCCCACCTGGTTCGAACCTGGGACCCCTCGAGTCGGTGGCACCATGAAACCCGGCGTACAAACCACTCAGCCGCCGAGGTCGTCTTAAAATTTAATACAAACCGTTATTACAGAATACTTATATTTCTTCAACAGTGTTATCAAATAGTATAGAAACTCTACTGAGTTCTCTACCGACTCCTATTCTATAGTATTGTAATGGTGTCAATTCTGGCGTGATTCTCTTAATCTAAACTTAAATTTGACAACAGTGTATCCTTGTCATTCTCCATACAAAATGAAAAGGAGAAACTAATCTTAAATTTAAGTTTAGATAATCAAGCCAGAATCGACACCAGTATTTAGTGTTATCAATGAAATTATACAGAGGAACATAATGTACAACTATTTACAAGAAGATCAGTCAAGGAACGCTTTACCAAATCATGTTTTTCATAAATTTCAATACCGAGGCATTTGTTATTTGATTTTGAACTATTTGTGTTCTTTTAAAAAGCATCGAAGGCATTTTTTTCTCTTTATAACACAGAATATATGGAATATTATATTGAATACACATGTAGCGTGTTTGAATGTCCAATTGTGACCAAAGAGAATTTAAGCAGATTACTTTTGAGCCGCAAGTGCCGTATCTTTCATTTTTATTTTAATGTAAGACTCAAGTAAACGAAAGTATTAAAAAATGGTTGCCTGTAAAGTCGGTTTTACGGGCGAAGATTTTACGTGACAACGTCTTTTTCTCGGTAGAATATTTATTGATATGAATATAATTAAATTGCACAATAGGAACAAGGAATTGAATGAAAATAAGAATTGCACAAATTTTAACTATAGAAATATATTTTGTTTACTAAAACATTGTACATGTAAACTTAAACTTAACACGAGAGACTCATCGTAACGTTACCGAGCGTTACACTTTTTCATAAGTGACTCCCAGCCGCAACCTAATTTAAGACGTTGTCACGTCAAAACCCACCCACCCAACAACTCGCCAATTCATAACGTCATTAAAATGACAGTTCTAATGTTGCCTTAATCAATACTTTGAAAAATAGGTAGGTCACGATTCATTAAACAGACTCTATACTGTGGCTCCACCCGGGGCTGTATCCCACTGAAGAATCCTTCATGAACCTATCACCAAGTCCATAGTATTAATGCATCCTTGTATCCCCCTAGTCTGTGCTGGCCATGGACTTCTGGCAACCAATGAAAATTTTTAATTGTGTAAGTTTGACAGACATCACACCAATCATAATTAAAAATGAGGGCTGTTTATTCTTGGTAAATAGTTTTTGATTGGTTGCAATGCAAATGTTGTCAAGATGTGGATTTGCTATCATCCTCAGTGTTTTCACTTTATTGAATGAATCCTGAATTTAATCGCTTCTACGTAATATTTTCTTATATCTTCGTTTCTTTTTCATAAAATAAAGTATATTGGGTGTTTTATGTTTCCATTAGTAAATTGTATTATTCCTCTACTTTTGCGGCGATGGAGTCTCCGCCTTCATTTTCTACACAATCGGAAGCACCTCCGCTAAGTGAAGATAGTGGCTTGCTGATTACAAGTGGTTCGTTTTCTAGTGATTCTGCCAGTGGATGGCAGCACGTCGCATCCGAGGTGAGCCGAGAATAATAAACAACATGCTTTAAACTTATGTAACCCTTGAAAACTACTAGTAACAATATGAATTATCTCATTTGCTTTTGATTTACATCTTAACTTAGTCATCATCATTATTACTAACTCTTGTCAGGGCTGGATTTAGAGGTCCAGAGGCCTCGGGGCAGCAGAGGAGCGGAGGCCCCCTCACCCCAAATTATTTTCCAAATAAAGTAAACAATTTTTTTTCAGTCGAGTTTTTCATTAAATAATTTATTGTGAACCAAGTAGATTCCCTTAGTATTGAACAAACACACACATATATATATATATATATATATATATATATATATATATATATATAAACGGAAACAAGAATTATCTGAAATTAAATCTTAGAGTTAACGAACGGAACCGAAAAGATGTTTACTAGTGTTTACTAGTTGGAATTTGAAAAATTTCTTTTTCCGAAGTCTCTATTGTGGGGGCCCCCCGTTTGTGGAGGCCCCGGGGCTTTCGCCCCGGTTGCCCTCCCCTAAATCCGGCAGTGACTCTTGTCCACAGGTAATTCTTATTAATAAACTTTGTTGTTTAGTTATTTGTTTATTAATGCTGTATCTTACAATTTTTCCAGTGTGTTTTGAATTCCTTATTTTAGTAGGTTCATAGGTATAAGTATATTGTTCCATAAAACTTGTGGTTTTCTGACTTATATCATTAGTTGAATGGCTCACATTTAGGCAGGACTAAGGATAGACTAAGCTACCCATAGGGAAAGCCTGTGCCCCAGTAATGGGGACATAAAAAGCCCTTTAATAATATAAATGATAGAATAAGATATTTGTAAAATTAGTAAATATGAAACAATTACATAAATAGTTTATATTAATTTATAATATTCATAATTTCCTACCAACACGATTGCCTTTGTTTTGTTTTCTATATTTATAACTTGATTGATTGTTTGCATTTGCTGTATATGTCTGATTAGATTTGTCATTTTAATTTCTGCCGAAGCTTGTAAATTTACAATGTGAAATTTTAATAGGTGACCAAACTAATTGCTATCGGCGATTACTTTTCCTTTTTTATAGGTACTTAAATGATTTTTGTTATTTCCATTCCTTTTTAATATTCCTTATACATATCCATGATTCATTTTTTATATTCCTTATACATATCCTTAATAAGTACTCCTTATAATTGGTTCCAAAAGTTACATTCCTCTCTAAATCTTTAATAAGGCATGACAAAATCTCACTACACAATTATTATTTTTGATAAAGATCAAGAAGCATGGCTTTATAGAAATATGATCATATTTGCTTTCTGCACCCAACTGCTGGGCCTGGGCCACCAATGTCTTGGAAACTGTTGTTACTTATGTAGTAATAGAGGGTTGTAAAAGGGAGGGTTATTATAATCAGCATCGTTGTGAAAACCTGATGGTTATTGGTGGCTAGCAACAGACATAAACCTTGTAGCAACAACTTGGCATAAGATTAATTGATGAGTTATTCTATTTCCTTTTAAATAACATGTCTTTGGAAAGGGTTATTATTACATTTTGTAGTAATTTGCACCATCATTAATTTTTTTGGATGTGTATTACCTTTAACATTATGCTAAATTTGCTGTGTACAATAATGCATCCATCCTGTATTGCAATAGCACCATATTACCTGACATGGTACTGACATGATTTTGTATGCTATACTGTCTTTTTACAGCACAATGCGATTGTTTTTGACTAACATCTATATGTTTGTTTTTGCTATGTTGAGTTATTTATTTTTTGTTAATGCTTATAATTCAGTTTACTTGTGTTACTTTAGTGTATTTTTAACTATTAAGTAATAAATACACTTATCACTAAGGTTACTTTAAAAAATATAACAAAAAGTTAATGATCAGTCTTGTAAAAGTTAGAAGCCGCAAATAATAAATAAGTTCATGTACCAAGCACTCATTTTAAAAGCAACCTGAGTTTCTTTGTTATTTCTAAGTAGAGATGATATACATAAGTTCACATTTACATAGATGTTTGTTATCTAATTGTGTCAAATTGTATAAAAAGAGTGTTTTGAATATTTGTTATATTTCTTACCTAGGCAAAACAACTAATAATTATCTATTCATAGTTTTGCTCTTTTTGTGAAATATCTATATGTTCATGTTCCCTTTATGCTAAGCTGTCCCTAATTTGCGAATTAAAAACTTCTTTAACAAATACCTATTTCACGCTAAGAAAACCTGCTCAACTTTGGATTCAATTAAAAAATTATAAGTATTTGGGAGTTAGTGCCAACCAAAGTCATTAATGGTAGTTCAGATCTCTTTGATAGGCATGGCACAGACTCCAAATTATGTTTTTTAGTGTTTTTTTTAATAAAGCAAATTAAATGGTATTAGAATATGATTTTTTTCTTATTACTAGAAAGAAAACTGATTCAGTTGAAGAAGAATCTTTGCAATTGCTCCACATATATTGGATATACATGCTTATGATTGTGTGAGCTATGAAAAAGGCTTATGTTATGACGATTTGTTAATACCTTTTTTGAAAAAAAATTGCCTATTTCAGTTAGGACTATACACATTTAGTCTCTGCCCTCCAATATAACATATTATCTCTAATGTGTTATTATAATAGTTGCAGGAAAGTGATTTTGATGAGAGATCACTGTCACTTTGTGAATCAACAGAAACCTCAGAACGCATGTGCGGCGATTTTTTCAACACAGTAAAAAAAGGACCTGCAAAAGTAATTCTAACAACAATAGAACCCCCACCAGAATTTCAGGTATATTAAACTCCTTTATTCTATGAATGTATTTGTTGCATTTTTATTTTAAACTAAATTTTAAGTATATATCTATTTTTTCATAAGTGAAAAATGTTATGTTGGCATAGCTATTGTACGAAACAGTTTCCTTTTGAATCTCTATAGAGCAGTGGTTCTTAACCAGTGGTATCGAAGCTATCTGAAATAATATTGCATAAGTAGGAAAGCAGTTTGATTTCCAAATTTGGGGAGGGGGGGGGGGGGGGGGGGTTTGCTAATCAAATCAAAGTGATAATTGGTCCCTGATTACTTAAGAACCACAGCTATAGAACTGCTGTCAAATGTGAAGGGCTAGCATTACATTGAGTACACAAAATTTCCTACCGAATGCTTGAATATTTGACATCTAGAACATCCAATGCCTTAAGGGTGTGCGAGAGCATAGTGTGGTCGTCCGCTTCTCGTGTTTGTTTCAAGTTATTTCATAGAGCAGCGCTGCGGGAGGCTGTTCTCTCCTCGTAGAACTGATTTATGAAATGACATGAACTAGACGCGCTCCTACTCCTTTACTTGCTCCTACTTAACGCAAGCTCTAAAGGCAGCGGAGTCTCTGGATGTCAAATGTTGGGTTCGATCACCGCTCCGTGCTGCGCTTATGGCTGCGGTCTGTTTTGACGCTGACCACAAACCTCAGACATGGGTTGCTTCTGGAACGGACGATCTGCTACCACCGGTTTCTGTCCAGTGCCTCTCACACCTGTAAAATATAAAGTATAAAATTTTGATGAGAACGAATCTTTAATTTGTTCGGTCCATCTTGTTGGAGAATGACCGCGCGATTATATCTCTTCAGTGTTCCCAAACATAGTAAGTTATTCCAAATTTCCATTGCCTCTGCGCACTGTATGGCCGAAGTTAGAAAGAATTCGCTGCCGGCATAAGGTAGACAAACGAGTTTTTATGTGAAGCTAGGTCAGAAACGATGCATTGGTGCGGTTTGTTTTTTACCTTCCAAGGTATTCTCAGCGTTCGCCTCCAACACCACATCTTGAATGCATCAATCCTTTGCCTTCCTCGGGCTAAGATAGTTCACTTTTCGACTCCACAAAGAGGATAGAGAATTCCAGTTCTCATCAATCTAATCTTGGTTTTAATACCAATTCCTCGTTTCTTCCAGATGTTGTTTAGACGGGACATTTTTTTGCCTTCCCTATTCTCTTTTTTTATCTCTGGGATACACTTGCCGTTATTGTTGATTTGGGAGCCCAAGTATATGTAATGGTTGGCGTTTTTATGCCAGAAGTGTTGCTTTCCGGCTCGGTCAGCTATCATCATTTTAGTTTTTGCTCTGTTAACTGCTAGACTGATGTTGCCACTTTCTGGCTGGAGTGGAATAGCTCACTCATTTTTTCCATAGATGTTGCCAAAAGGATTGTGTCGTCGATATACTGAATGAAGATTCGATATTCACTTGCCACCTATAGGGAAACACTTCTCCCAATTCTTTATTGTCTTCCGAATAATGTAGTTACTCTCCATATATGTTAAAAAGTGCAGGGGACAAGGAATAACCCTGTCTCCAGTCCCTTCCTAGTTTGGAACATATCGGAGTATTCAGTACCTATTATGATAAACGAACGGTTTTTAGTGTACAAACTGGATGAAGCATCGATGCTTTCAGGAGCATCCATTTCGAGATTAAAGTTGCGTTATTGAATTCGAAAATATCTTAACAGACACCAGAGGCGTATTTTCCCATTTTTAACGCCGGGTTTCATGGTGCCGCTAACTCAAGGTCCCGGGTTCAAATCCCGGTGGGGACAGATGTTTGTGTGATGAATACGAGCATTTGTACTCCAGTCATGTATGATTAATATGTATTTGTACATAAATATACTTATATATGAATACTATCCGTTAGCCTAGTATCCCATAACACAAGCCTTAAATGCTTATATTGGGGCTGGGCTGATTGGTGTGAGTGTTGGAAATAATTATTTATTTATTGTTTCAGGATAATCCGATTCCGGCTATTGTAGACAAATGTTCGGCTGTGCTTGTGCCTCCATCAGTTATTTGTACGAATGAATCTCCGAATAAAATAAAATTGACTAGTTTAGATATTCCTATGTCCACGAGCCACGTATCACCTATATACCCAAGGAAAATAATACCAGAATCATTGTACGACCGGCGGCAATGTTTAAATCACCGATTTGCAAGCCCGAGATTACTCCACCTCAGTCCGTGTCGGGCCACAAGACCTTCCTCAAGGAATTCCCTTTCATCACGATTGTCTAGCAGTCACAATTCTCTTATAACTCAGTTTCAAGCTGATGATTCCAGTTTTATTACGCAAGCAATATCTCATGATACTTTGTCAGCTAAAACGTCCGACATAACGGACATGTACAATGTTCCCTTCGATAGCGATATTTACGCAGTACCCATAGATATGGTTCGACCCAACCGTAGTAATATTCGTAATAAAGGCAAGAGGTTGCCAAGAAATAACAAGAAGCGTGGTAAGAGCACTCCTCAGAATATAGGCAGCAATTGTCAGTTAGAAAGGGTACCTAAATTAAAAGAAACTTCAAGACATAAGGATGCAAAAACTAAACGTCACAGTTTACCAAGTTCATCAATTAAAAAAAGCGCAACTGACTCTGATACCGATTCACTCCAAGTGACTCTTCGTGAAATGCGAAAATATTTGCACACCTTATATTCTAGTTCTAGTGATTCTGAATGCAGGAATACAATAAATAAGAAAAGTAATGCTATCATAACCAATGTGGGAATACACACAAGACATTGTAATAGGGAAACAACAACTGCTGTTTTATTGAAAGAAAGCAACGAGCTAAGTAAAGCGATGGAAACCAATAACAACCACAAAAAATCTAGCAAGAACTCTTTCGGAATGAACACCAAGAACAAAAAACATAAAGAGAATATACCGAAGGAAATTTTAGGTGTAGATAAAAATGATAAGTCCGTTAAAAAGTCGAACCAGTGTCAGAAGACAAAAGTTAATCCTGTGAGAATATTGTCGATCAATTTAAAACAGAGCTTTTGTAATTTGTTTCGCTGGCGAAGGCAGCCGGTGGTCGATACTGCTGCAGACGTGGAGAAAGTGGCAGGCGGTAAAGAAAGCCCTCCAGCGGCAGTCAGACGCGCTCTGCCTCCACTGCCACAAACGCCCCATACTTCCCATAGGTCCGTCAATGAAGAAGATCAAGTCATGGATTTTGCCACTTCTCTGCAAAAAGTCAAAGATGTAAGAACTTTATTATTAATTCTAGCCATTGGTAGTCTTAGTTTATGTAGATTAATAACTTGTACAAGCTGACTTGTACCGCCCAAAAGTAATAATTTGCAATAAAATAATATTGCGACTACAAATTGAGATGTAAGCTATCCTATCTTTCAAGTTGGATAAAACTGCACACGGTGTGCAAATTTGATTGAAATCGGTTAAGGCGAGTAGAACCGCGAATGACTTTGGGTGCGCGGGCGTGGCCTAACGTTTCTCACCCCGCCATACTCGTCCAAACATCGCGCCAAGCGCGCGAATTGCGTTCATGACTCGATAAGTAAGCATCCTAAATATTAGATATAAATGCGAAAGTGAGTTTATTTGTTACTCAATCACGCAAAAACTACTAAACGGATAATTATTCTTATTTTGTTTACACTTACTTTTTTGTAATTTTGAATATATGATATTGGATTTTTTATGCCTTAAATAAGCTATTGTAATTTTATTATTATTACATATAATTAAATTTAGTTAGTTTATAATCGGGATTGGGACATGCGATACTTTTTATCACGGAAAATTGTCTACCTGTGCTTTTGGGATTCTCAAAAAACCAAAGTAAAGCGGACGAAGTAGGGAGCGGCCGCTAGTAGACGTATAAATATGGTTAATAATTATTGAATGATTGAAATCTCCGCTTGCTAAAATAGAAATGCCTCTGCACTGCCGGTGTACGATGAGCCTCCACTAATCCTATTGTAACGTACCTACATCAGTTCACTAGCGAACGTCGAGAACGAAATAGGTATTTAATTTACTAGTCAACTTATCAATAAACGGTTGAAAGATACCAAAAAAACTGGTGTTTTACCAGTATTTTTATAAATGAATTAAAGTTAAATATAAATTTGCTAAATAGCAAACATAACCAGAGACTTGGAAGCAATCCCTTCAAGAAAGCCGGTTATTACCGGTATTTTAATACGTATGTGGCAAACTAATCAATAAATGGTTATAGGAGACAGAAACAATCCCCAAAAAAAAACTGTTTTTACCGGTATTTATTTTTAAAGCCCATTTTGTTTCATAATCTCTTATCTATTAAACAAGTCCGTCCGTCCGTCCGTCCGTCCGTGGTGCTGTTTCAGCGGCCAAACCGTAAGAGATAGATAAAGAGAATGTTTAAGTTATAAGTTGAGAATAGTCTGATAAGACTACAAACCGGATGTGAGTAACGTAGCACTTCCGGTTTTCGAGAAATCACGTGATTTCTATTTCAAACGAAACCACACAAAATCTCCGAAGTTCTCAATTAATTAAATACTTTTTTTTTTGGTGAACATTTGGTTCACTGGTTTGCTAGTTATCAAATAACCTGATAAAGTTAGACGTTACTAGCCTGTGCAGAGGAGGAACTTACTTGTGTCCAAGGATTTTTTTGTCCGCCTAAGTAGATCGTTTACAACTGCATCGAGTAATGCACATGAGGTAATAAAATTCCCGCTTACAAAATGTCTCCCGAATAACGTGGACACCGAGGGAAAGCAGTCGTAAAAGGTTTTGTGTGAGTTTGAAGTAGTCAAACATGGGTTTGACTACTATGACAGCATATTTTACCTAATGTGGTGATGGCACCACATTAGGTAAAATATGCTGTCATCGCCCTTTACTATGAAAAGACGTGCGCTGGTTCATTGGGAAAGGAAAGGAATGTTAAATAATACAAAGTTGATTCAAAAAAGCTCTCAATACGAGTTGTATTATATAATAGCCTCAGTGCACATATAGCACAATATTTATTGCGCACACCCAAAAACAGCACCTCACCTGTCCTTTTACCGATTATAGATGCTGCCCCGGATAAAGAGTATTTTATTTGTAAGTGGCACGATGGCACGATTTACATGTAAATCATTTGGAGCATCAGATTCATATTGCATAACTTGCATTTTAATGTAAATTTTGTCAAAAATCCGATTTGCCGTTCTCCAATAATTTCAATACAGTCTAGGCCGCAGTTCGTAGGTCCATGGTTAGAAATGTTTTTTTAATTAATCAAAGAAGTGACCGATACTTACGATTCGTCTTCCTTCGATAATTGAGTAGAGCTGAAATAATAAGTATATTTATAACGCTACATAATAACAACAAAGAAAAACAAAATAATATAAATAAATATTACTAGCACACACCAACTAGCCTAGCCCCCCAAAATAAGCTTGTGTTATGGTACACTAGAGTAACGGATAGAATACATATACTGTTACATTTATAAGAATATTTAGAAATACATATAAACATTTATGACTTAGTATCACATGCGTACGTCGCGTCGTAATCATTATACAAACATTAGCCCTACCCGGGACTTGTGTGTAGGCTACACCTTGAAGTGGCGGAGTGGCGGATGGGGGCAGATGTTTGTGTGATGAATACGAGCATTTTTACTCCAGTAATTAATGTCAAATATGTATTTCTATATAAATACACTTATACATGTATTAGTATATATATTCTATCCGTTACCCTAGTATCCCATAATACAAGCCTAAGGTGCTTACTTTAGGGCTAGGCTAATTAGTGTATTGGAATAATAAAATAAATAATAATCAAATTCATGTTTAAAGTTAATACTGAAATAGGTACCGGTATTGAATACCGGTTTTTTATATTTTTACCCTACTAAGTTATCTTAAATACCTGATCTGGTTCTGTTTCCTTTATGTGTTTGGGTGACTGAGGTTTTTCACTTCGGGTGCTTTCTTTTGTGTTTTATAATGACTGTTGGTGACACTGGACCTGGTCTTGACATAATCGCTTTGGCCGAATATTACACCTGAAAAAATCACTGTTTTTAGACCTAAAATACTCGTAACAGCTTTTAGTGTAGATACCTATTAGATTATGTAGATGCGACTTACTCGGTTTCATAGCAGTCCAGAGATTACGATGCTTCTTAGATTTGCCTTTTTTTAGACCTAAAATAAAAAAAAAAAAAACATAAATATTTGTACAGAGGTATTACATAATAAAATATAGGTACCTGCTTCCATACTTATGATAAGTAGATACTAGGTCTAGTAAATTGAGATTAAAAATTAGCTGACTTACCTCAATTCATGGATATTCAAGGCCTTTTCTGTACAACTTCTGGAAAGTTTACTTTTTCGTGGCATTGTTATTGATAATTTTAATTTAGAAATTACAATTAGTTAAAAATATATATAAATTCTGATTCTGAATGAAATCTTATTTAGATACGTATTATTAAAATTTCCACTTAAAAACACTTTTCATATTTTAACCTACATATAATAATAAGCGTCCTTTCGCACAATATAACTATTTCAACATAACATTGTAATGCTCGCATTCACGGCGGTATCGTGTCTGGAGCGGCAGCGCAGCGCGCGGCCTCACCCTTCGAATGTCAGCGCAGTACTGCTTCCCGTCGCCCGCGCACGGGCAGCAGTACTGCGCCCGCATTCGTTTTGTAGTTTAGTGGGTAAAATTACTTTTCGTAAAAACTATTATTTCTGGGTAATATAAAGTAGGCCAGTTTAAAGATAAACGATATACGAACATTTTTATTCAACAGCCATTAAAATATCACTAATAACTTCAGAGCTTAAGCAATTTTAAGGTAAAAAGCAGCATTTTTTTTTCGTAGAGTATTTTAATATTTCTCGAAAATTTTAAATGCCCATATTAGAGTACATATATGAATGCTTAATATATATTTTTTCTGGAACATTCTGTTTACACATTTTCGAGTTAAAGATCCTCAAAGGTAACCTTTTCACGGGTGTACTCGCTTTAAGTAGTTTAGGAGTCCATCCCGGACAAATAACGTGACGCGTAATTTATATATATTCAAAAAAAAAAAAAATTCAAAATTCAATATCGTTTATTCAGTCTAGGCTGTTACAAGCACTTGTGAATGTCGAAAAGCTACGCCATCGGTTCGCAAATCTACGGCGGGAGACCTTGTACTGAGAAGAACCGGCAAGAAACTCAGCAAGGGCTGTTTTTTTCTCCCTGTATTATATACAGAGTCGTCAAATTGAAAAATGACTTCAATATGAGGTAACTCATAAAGTCACTTTTCATTACAAACAAAAAAAAAATGCAAATAATATAAAAATTATGACTATAAAATAAAAAATTAAAATATGTAAAAAAAATGGTTTAACAAAGTTTAGGAATGACGTGTCCTACCGCTTAGGCAAAAAGAAAATAATAATAATGAACGATTAAAGTTTAGAACAACGATTAATAGTAGTACCTAGTGAATTAAGAGCAGACTCATCTCCGCTGGCAGCACCCGTTCACGAGCATGACGCATGAACCAGCCATCGCTTCGCTCAACCATTTTTTAGGGAACGCAACGACCCGCCTCACACGACACCACCGAAGAGATTTTTAAGAGAGCATGACTACTCATAACCACACATGGATACTATGTTACTAAAATAGAAAAAAAAATACATATAGGTACCAGTGTACATTATTATAACAAACTATAAACACAACGGCAGGACACATGCATGTGATTACCTAAACACTGTTGTCGACCCTGGCAATACTCTCCCAACCCAAAACCAATCAAACATCAGTCCCCCCCTTTCAGTCTGTATAGAGAATGACAAGGATACACCACTGCAAAACCAAGTTCAGGTCTAGAAAAACATACCAGAATCCACACCGCCATTAAATCTTTATCAGAGAAATAATATATGTTCACTTACATTTTGATTGCTGTGTCACACAGTATAAATACAAGTTGTGTAATGTAAAATACAATCAAAAATTAATAATAATTATCATTACAATAATAAAGTAGTATAGAGCAGACTCATCTCCGCTGGCAGCACCCGTTCACGAGTATGACGCATGAACCAGCCACCGCTTCGCTCAACCATATTTTAGGGAACGCAACGACCCGCCTCACACGACACCGCCGAAGAGATTTTTAAGAGAGCATGACTACCCATAACCACTAAAACCAATCTGCAAAA